TCGGAGACAAGCGCCGGGAGACACCATTATCGGGAAAATTGGAGCTCGTTCTTATGTATATATTTCTTTGTTTCCAGTTGGGCTGTTGAATGGGTGTAAGGTGAGTTTGGCGGAATTGGACGACGACGGGTAGATAGATTTGTGTGGAGGCGCGATGGCATCGGTGTCGGCGGCAACGAAGGGCTTGTGGAAGTGAACTGCGGCGGGCAGAGGGGCGTGTACGAGGCGCAGTGGCGAGGTGAAGAGGCGAGGCGGCGGAATGGTTGGTGAGAGCGGATGGCGGGCTGTGCGTGTATAGAGGCGTAGCGGCGGTGGCGAAGGGACACGATGGTCGTTTGTGCGAGCTCAAGGTCGCCGCCTCCGGCGGACGGTGCGACTGTGGGGAGGTGATGAGAGAGAGCGAAATGTTGTATGTGTTTGTGAGAGAGAAGTGAGAGATCTGAGGAGACGTGATGGGAATTGGGAAGGGTTGTAGGTGTGGGGTCCACTGGGTTGTGGGGGTGTTGTTGACTTATGGGTAGTTGGTGCAGGTTTATTAATTGTAGTGAGACCCACTTATTTGAATGTAGTATGGAAAAATACCACAATACCCTTAATGAAGATATAATTTAGCTTTTTATTAAGCTATTAGATCATTCAATCCTATGGATGAGATTTATTCTCATTTCTTTCATGAGGAATCATTCTCATGTGAACTCAACCCTAGTATATATGTATATAAATATATATATACTAGGGTTGAGTTCACTTGAGAATGATTCTCAATTAAAGGAATGAAAATAAATCGTAACCATTAGAGAAATGAAAATAAATCGTACCCATTAGATCGGATGTTCTAATAGCTAAGTGATAAGTAGATTAGTAGGCTCGACCGGCCTCGACCGGGGCAGAGGGTCGATCGGTACGCCTCGGGCTCGACCGGCTTGAACTCGATCGGCCGAGAGGGTCAAACACTGTGCTTAATGTCGACCGAGTTGCTAAACTGGGGCAAAAGGGGTTGACCCTCGAACAAGGAAGACACAGGGGTCGACCGACCCCAAATGTCGACCCTCGACCCTAGCTCTATCCTTTGGGTGATCGGGTGCCAATTATAGGGTCGACGCATCCGTACAGTTAAATGCTACATATATATATATTGAATTTCGCGTTTATTAGGTAAGACTTCATTAATATCATGACTATTACATTTAATACACATTATTACTATTCTTCTTCTCCAAGATATTGACTTGGGCATCAGAGGGTTTTGCACCGGAGCAATTCCGACGGTTTGTAGGTACTGAAGAACTCGCTAGCTTGGACCGGACCGAATGAGCCAATCCACACTTCACACTGAAGAGAAATCTTTGAAGAACCGGAGTCTTTACGTCTGTGGGAACCCTAGCTCAACCGGCGTTGATCTAGTAGTATCTCATACGTAACAACCGGAAAGCAAATGGAGAAGCAAGG